TCATAACCACCCAATTTTGAGGATCATAATAATCATAATCATGTTTTTAAACTAAAAAGAGCCATATATGATCTCAAACAAACTCCTAAATCTTGGTATGAGAGATTGAGTGGATTCTTAATCAAACAAGGATGTAATCATGGTAAATTCGACACCATTTTCTTTATTAGATGTATATCAATGAATATTCTTTTAGTTCAAATATATGTGGATGATATTATTTTTAGTTCTACTGATGAGTCTTTTTGTCGAGAATTTTCTAGTTTAATGCAGGGAGAGTTTGAGATGTCTTTTATGGGAGAATTGACATATTTATTGGGATTGCACATCAAACAAGTCGGAGAAGAGACTTTTATAATTCAAACCAAATACTCCTTAGAGATTTTGAAGAAGTTAGATATGAAAGACTCAAAGAGTATCTCAACACTTATGGCATATAATGTGCTTATTGACAAAGAAGAATGAGGAGTAGGATTACCAGATATAGAGGTATAATCGAATCCTTACTCTATTTAATTGCGAGTAGGCCATATATCATATTTAACGTGCACATATGTGATAGATATCAAGCATCACCTAAGGAACCACACTTTAAGATCATAAAATGATTTTTGAGGTATCTTAATGGAACTTCACAACACTGTCTTTGGTGTTCTAAGGGTAGTGTTTGTAGCTTAGTAGGTTATTCTGATTCTGATTTCGCGGGGTGCAAGTCGGATAGGAAAATTACTAGTAGTACCTGTCACTTATTTGGAAGATATTTAGTTTCTTGGCATAATAAGAAGCAGCACATTGTTTCTCTTTCTACCACTGAGGTTGAATAGGTAGTCGCTGGTAGTTATTGTGCACAAGTGTTATGGCTAAACTAATAATTACTGGATTATAATTTAAAACTTGAATGAATTCTAATTAAGTGTGATAATACTAGTGCAATAAACCTCACTAAGAATTCTATACTTCATTCAAAAACTAAACACATTGAGACCAGACACCATTTTCTTAGAGATCATGTTGAAAAAAAGGATGTAGTTTTTGAATACGTTGGCACTAAAAGTTAGCTTGTTGACATCTTTACAAAACCATTGTCATCAGAACCATTTCACAAGAACTGTAGGAATTTAGGAATCTTAGATCCCTCTTGCTTTAAATAGAATAAGTATTTTGTTTAGTTTCACTTGCTATATATATATATATATATATATATATATATATATATATATATATATATATATATATATATATATATATATATATATATATATATATATATATATATATATATATATATATATATATATATATATATATATATTGTTTTCACTAACATTATTTTGTAGCGAATCTTACTTTGCCGATTATATTGGTATGTCTCTAAACTCTATCATTGTGCATGTTTGTTCTACGTATTAATTGGTTTGCTTACTATTTATTTACCTTACTTTTCTTTGTTCATTTCTCCAACATGTTTTTTTTAATTTTTCTTCTTTGCATTTAAGTCTTTTAAATGTGTATTTTTAATTATGTACATTTGAGCATTTGTACAATTGATCATGCATTATTATCTTCATAATGCATTCCTTTACATATTATCTTTTGATCACTATTATATGTTATGGATGAACATTGAAGTTGCATGCCTATGTTGCATTTTGTTGCATATAACATGTTTATCTTCATATTTGTATTCGATCTTAGTTGTTGTATATTCTTCTTAGCTTGTCTAAGCTCTCTTGTTCTTCTGGAATTATTTGTTGAAGATTGTTTATTTTTGGTTTAGTATCTCTTTTTGATGATGTCAAAAGTGGGAGAAGTTTTAATGAGTCTATAATTGATTTTATGCGTTTTATGTTATGGTTTGTATGCAATGTTTTAGGGGGAGAACAAGTATTTTGATTTTAACTCAAAGTCGACTCAATTACAAGTGAAAGCTGACCAAATATAAAAAATGGGGAGATTGTAGCTGCATATCCCTAGAGGGTGATTGTTGCATGTCCCTAACAAATACAGGGGGAGCACACTAACATGATTATTTTGTTGCTTGTCTTATTGCTTTTGCTTACTTTCAGTTGTTGAGTTTCCCTCATAAATTGCACACTTTGAATCAAGTTTGAAATTGTTTCATAAATCTTTTTAGCATGCATAAATCATTGGTTATATTCGAACTTTATCATAAATTTTTTATTCATTTGCATGAGTTGGTGGAATAAAAATATTACATATTTTTAATTTGAAGTAAGTGAAATGTAAAATCTCAAAGCACTTTTCAAAACATAAAAATTTGGGATTATAAATGTTTGATTCGAATCATAAGAATAAAACACATTTTATGATTCAAATCAAATTGGATAAAAACATACCAGGAATTTTTTTAAATATTTGATTCAAATAATTTCTTACACATTATTTGAATCACACTCTTCTGATCACCTTTTGCCCAGTTTGATTCAACTCAAACTTCATACATGATTCAAATCACACACTTTTTTACATTTTCTAGTTGGTTCTGTTCAATTTGATTCGAATCAATTTTTGAACATGATTCGAATCGCGGGGTCCATGATTCGAATCAAACTTTGTGCTTGATTCAAATTAACTAAAAAATGGGTCAAAAATATAATTTTCATTTATTCCACTTCACTTGATCATTTTCATATAAAACCTTTTATCAACACTTTTTCATAAGAGAAATTTCATATTCATTTGCGATTTTCTGTGAAATCAACTCTCTCACTTTGAAAAGTTCAAAGTTCTTACACTTGGATTTTTTTCTTCTTCAACCTTAATTTATGTTTCAGATATTGATCATGAAAGATTCGTGATTGATTGGGGGATAAGGTGTCTTGAAAATAACCGTTCTTGGATATTGTTTAAAGAATGTTCAGGTTGTTACAAGATTGTAGAGTTGCCAGTGGTGCTGAGAAATTATGATGAAAAGAAGGAAGTTCCTCTCTTCAGATTACCTTAGTAGTGACTGTGTGGAAGGCTATAGATAAGACGTAGTTCTTCTCAAATCTACATACAATTAACTGCTCAAGGAATTGGTAGGATTAAGGGGTTAATTGTTACACACGAAGACTTGAAGCCGATTTGTGATATTGGAAGATTCTTGAAGCGTTGATCAAGTAAAGATTGTGCATAAGAGTTTGACATTAAGCCATATACGAGTCAAAATCCAAATTGAAGATTTTATTTGTTATTTTTCTTCAGCATTGTTGTTGAATGGTGATTGCTTATACTCTTGAGATATTTGTCAAAATAGAAGGAAACTATTAGAAGAAGTGGGCGTGGACTCACGAGAAAACAACAAAGTTAAACCACTATAAATCTCAGTGTCATCTCTCTACCCATTACTCTTGAATTTAAATTTCGTAGAACATGCATGCTTAGGTTTAAATTTGGTGAAAGCGGTTTATTTGATAAGCCTAGGTTTTGTTGGAATTGGAGACTTAACAAGAGCTTTAGCGATGACTAAAATCTGAGAAACATCATGCTTTTAGAATTCAATTTGTTGATTAATTGCTTAACCACACCTTGTGACTTATCCAATTAATTCAATTGCATACGTTATATTTCTTCATCTAGACATTGCAATATTTGTGAAGTGATTTGAGTTGTTACGCAAATAATTATCAAGTGAGTATAATTTCACATTTTCACTCAATAAACTTTCGCGTGCAAAATCTGAAAAACCTCTGATTATTCTCATTGAAAGAATCAGTTGATTTTAGTTTTAAAAGTCTATTCATCCCCTCTAGACTGTTTTCTAACACCATATTCTCACACAACAATTTATACCGATATATAATAGCAAAATATAATTTTGATGTAGTCTATTTTCATTTCAATTATACCCTTTTCAGTTTGTTTTAAACCTCAACTTCTCTCCTGCTAACTGTTATGGCAATTTATATATCTCTTTTATTCTATTATTATTTTTTATTAATTCACAAATAATTTAAATCAAAATCAAAATTAAACATACAAAAATATTATTAATATTTTCACATGTTTGCTCATTAGTAAAAATAAAAACAAAGCGAGATTAGAGTGTTGTAAGACTCTGTTTGGTAAGACACAATTTTGAGCTTGTAATTTATAATCTATAACTTATAAATTCATATGCCAATTTAGACATGTTTGATAACATTCTTTTCATCACGAGCTTATAGTTTAGTTTACTAATTTATAATTTATTTTTTTAAATGTTATTTTAAATAGCATTTTAACTTATAGCTTATAACTTATCATTTTTTCTTCCTATTTTGTCTTTATTATTTTAACAAAATCCCACTTTTATCTTTTATAATTTAGTTTAATGTAAAATACAATAATTATGTATTAAATATCTTATATATAATTTAACATCATTTTACAATTGAACAACTAACTTTACTAAACACTTTAACTAACTTATCAATTATCAGTTTCAACCATCAATTATAAACTATAAACTATCAATTATCAACCATCAGCAATAACTTATAGACTATCAATTAATTTATCAAATAATTATTATTTTTATCAAACTGACCTTAAATCTCAAAATAATGGAAATATGTAAACAAAACAAATTAAGACTATAAAATTTCCAATCAAAACCAAAGTAAGAATTCAAAGTAAATTAAATATTCACATTCACTCCCACACATTTTTTAATAAGAAAAGATTACACATTAAAAAACAATAAAAAAAAAATCCAAATAATTTATTTCACCTCATGAATAACGCCTATAAATAAATGCACATAATCAAATCTTACTCTTACCCTCTTTCTCTTTCTAGTTTACAACCTTTTCACGTGTCTCTCCTTTTCACACACTTGTGTTCTCTTCTCTCTTCCCTTCTTCCCTCTGTTTTTTCCTAGGAAAACCAAAATTTTCATTTCTATATTATTATTCACAAACTTCCTCATAGGGTCGGTGGTTAATGTTTCTTTGTGTTCTTGTCTTTACACAAAACATAACTCTCACTTTGTTTGAAACTTCGAGATAGAAAAAAATATGGAAGGAAGAAAGAAATTGGGTTCTTCCTCTTCGTCTTCATCATCTTCTTTCACTTCTGAACTCTTTGGTTCCATTGATTTTCATCCTTCTTCTGGTTCTTCTGGAATTTTCGATTCTATTTTTTCTCCTTCTTCTAAGGTTTTGTATTTTTTTTTGTGTCATTTTTCAACTGTTATAGAAGAGTTTTATTATCATTATAATTATGTGTATTGATTTTGAGATTTGTGACGATGATTCAGGTGTTTGGAAGAGAGTCTCTGCGTTCTGCACTGAATGGAAAAATTGCTGCTACTGAAGGATCAAACTCCAAAATTGGTACTCAAGGTTTGAATACTCTGTTTTATGACTATTTGATATTGAAATTATACTATTATAACTTTTGATTAATTTATGAAGAAACAAATCGTTATGTTTTTTTACCCGACCTCGTCGGTTAGAGGGACTAGTCTATGCAGTTGCGTGCAGATGATATCTGATTTCTACGTGAAGAAGTAGTAGTAATTTTTTAGGGTTTATTAATGTTATTTTTGGTTGCTTTGTTCTTGTTGGCAATGCAGATTATATGAGTAAGGGAAGTGAGGGTGAAAGTGAGAACAAAACAAATAGGGATATGAGTTATGTTTATCAAGAACAAAGAGTTCAACCATGTCAGCTTAGTTCATCAATCTATTATGGTGGCCAAGATGTATACTCTCATCCTCAGAGTACTCGGGGTGGTTTGGGATCAAACACTATGGTGATTGATTACATTTATCAATTTTTTTCTTTCTTTACCCACAAATGCAACATGAATAGTGTAATGAGTTTTACTACTGCTTGGATTGGCTAACTTGATTTTTTTTTCATTATCAGTACAAGAAAGATGATGGAGAAGATGATTCAGGAAGTGCCTCAAGAGGAAACTGGTGGCAAGGTATATGTCTGAAAAACTTGTGGTAAAAACTTTGTGGTTCATCTCTATGTCAGGAATTTCTCACCAATTTTCATGTTGTAACTTTATATCAATAGGATCTCTCTATTATTAAAAGATCACACACTTGCCAAGGGAAACATGCTCCTCAAGGTATATGAATTTCTCACTAATTTACATATTTGAATTTCTTGTTGTCACGGGATCAGGAAATATGCCAGTCGATTTACTAATATATTGGCAGTTTCCTAGTTGAGATGTGCTGTATAGCACAGATACGTCTGGTGTCTGGTGTCTGGTGTCTGGTGTCTGGTGTCTGGTGTCTGGTGTCTGGTGTCTGGTGTCTGGTGTCTGGTGTCTGGTGTCTGGTGTCTGGTGTCTGGTGTCTGGTGTCTGGTGTCTGGTGTCTGGTGTCTGGTGTCTGGTGTCTGGTGTCTGGTGTCTGGTGTCTGGTGTCTGGTGTCTGGTGTCTGGTGTCTGGTGTCTGGTGTCTGGTGTCTGGTGTCTGGTGTCTGGTGTCTGGTGTCTGGTGTCTGGTGTCTGGTGTCTGGTGTCTGGTGTCTGGTGTCTGGTGTCTGGTGTCTGGTGTCTGGTGTCTGGTGTCTGGTGTCTGGTGTCTGGTGTTAATCAGTTACATTGCATAATTGCAGGTAAATAGGAAGATAGTGTGACATGACAGTGTTGTCCATCTTTTCTGACATGGAAACATTGTACTCTACTGTAGTGACCAAGTTGTGGATGGCTAGTTCCTTTCTTCTTCATCCAAGCAACAGAATCACAATATAAACCTATAGTTATAATATTTCTATAAGCATTTTTCTTTTCACTATCATGTACAAAATAACATTACTTAGTGAAGGTAATGTATAAGTCCTATGGTATAAGAATATGCTAGCTTATAAATTAAAGGGGCAAAACTCTATTTTAGTGGTTTACTTTCCCCTATATATGTAATGAGACTCATCTATCAACAATGTGATATGCAGGTGTTTTTGTTTCTGGACATGCTTAACCTACCTATAGTTTATTCCATGTCGGTAGATTCTTAAGCCATATTTGGCTACACATTCATGGGTTGTGGATGATGCAGTACTAGTAAAGAATAATGAAATATTCTTCAAGAGTGTCAAAAGTTGTAGATTCATGAACCAAATTTATTACAATGCTATAAGTTAAAAAAACTTTCAAAGATAAAGTGTGGTCCATACTCTATGATGCATAATAATCTAGAAACATGTAGAAAACAGTTGGTTAACTGGTACTATGACCACTCAATTTTTCTTATCCTAGGAGTTGTTTCAAGAATTTGAGCCTATGTTTATTTATTTACTATGTACAAAACATCATCTAACTCCACCTATATATATATCCTTATCCATCAATGGTGGGACAAGTTATGTAGTAGTTGGTGTGCTTGGTTTGGTTGGTGGGATTTTCTGGCTTGTTTTTCTTGTTTTGGTAAAATGTTAAAACATCTTACTGGCTATAGGGCATGGGAATTTCAATGTTCTTCCTTTTGAAGTAAAAGTTTAGGGAAAGAAGATTTGATTCTGTGGGCTAAAATTACACCAGTTTAAAAAAATATATATTTTCGTTCAAGAAGCTAAAAAAAAAACTTGAATTAAAACATTCTAGATTTGCCTAGAATGTCAAGGATACAAGAGTTTAAACTTTAAATAGAATAGGCTATGATAGTGTAAACCAGCTAACAACTGCAAAAACGAAATGAAAACAATTAAAAAAATTGGGTGAATCCACCAGACCACCACAGTTGAACTAATTATTTTTATTAAAAATAGAATTTCTTTCTTTTCAAATACCTCATTTCAGAATAAATGGATTTCACCAAACTTAACAACATGCTCTTTATGATTAATAGATAAAGTACAATAAATACTCAATCAATTTAGCACTTCGATTCAAAGCTTACCAAAAAAGTTACTTTTGGTATGGTGGATCAAAAGTAACATTAGACGTGTAGAATTGATTCAGTGTGATTTTGAAATGTTTGGTTAGATAAAATTAGAATTAATTCTGTTTTTAAAATTGATTATATTTGAAATTAGAATTTATAGCTCATGCTACTAAAATTGATTTTAAATGATTTTTACACTGAAACTTATTGATCAACTCACTTTTACGTAAATATATTATAAATCAATTATACGAAATTCAATTCTAATAAAATCAATTTTATCTACCGTCAATTCAAACACGCTCTAAAGATTAATAAATAACACTATGTTCTTTCTCACAAGCTCTGTAGCTCAATAAAGAATTAGAATCTATAATTTCACATTTAGTCGAATTATCTTTTGTTTTGATTAGACATAACTTCCAAACAAATAAAGACACATAATTTTGTTCTAACGAAACCACATACATGCCCAGCCGTGCAAAAAACAGGTTATCCAAAAATAGTTCTACACTCTCCCACATGATCTTCTTCCCCAAGCAAATAAACTTCATTATACACCATGAATTAAACCAACAAAAAAAAGTACTTTCTCCATTATACACCTCCTTCACCATCCTCTCAACATTTCAATTTCCCACACTCGATCTACCACCCTCCTTCAAAAACATCAAATCATGTCACCATTGCGATGCCAACCTCCTATGTGATTGGATCCTTCCACCCTCACCATACATAGCAACCATCACCTTAAAGCACAAACCCCTTTAATCGACAAGTGGTCTCCATCACCACTTTTCTAACAATGTTAAATTAAATTTTCTTTGTTAGACGGTAGAGTACGATCTAGAAGGGAGTTGAATAGATTATAAATGAAATTTGTAAATTAAAATTCTGTTTCAAAATGTTTTAAATTATGGCGCGTAGAAACAAATTCGGATCGATAATCGTCTATTCGAACCGTTATCGAAAAGACTGGATATGTGTTAAACCGATGGAACTAGTTCACATATGATGAGAAAAATAATCAATATATTTTCCGCAAACCAACTTTGAATAAATCACACTATCAATCAATTTCTAAAGAAATAATCGGCAACTAAGGCAATTTGTCGAACACTTGAAGTGCAATCGATACAATCCAGAATTTTGTTTGATTTTGTTGATGTTAGAAACTAATTACAATTTATAATCACAAGGATTATAATCAAATCAATAAAATAGTTTATGGTATTAACCCAATAGATTATCTCGATGTATCGATCACATAATTTGAAGTTTTCACAATTTACAATAAAATGTAAAGTAGAGAGTAAGAAATGAAGAGAGCGACACAAGGATTTGTTTAGGAAGTTCATCAATCGGCCTCATTATTAGTACGCCTGCCCCAAATGCTGTTTAGAATTGAGATAATCAAAATTAACATTTGCAAAATGTTGATACAAGAGAACAAGTAGCAATCCAACAAGCAAACCCTAAGTACGTTGTTGATTCTATCTTATTCTCTCCCTTTGATCTTGAGCTCGATCAAGTGAACCCGATGATTCCAATTTGATCCTCCGTCTCACGCCACTCATTTGCAAGAACTCATGTTCTTCAAAGACTTCACTCGAATGAATCTAAATTGCGAATGTATCGTGACCCTAAGATTTACCAATTTGATCCTTCATCTCGCGCTACTCCTTCGACTGAATCTACCTAGACATAGAGAGATACCGTCAAATATATAAATACTACATATTTCCTAGTTTTGACATCATTCAAAATATCTAATGAAGGATATTGCACTCACACCCTCATCCTCCATATCTCTAACCCTCTATGTTACTTATCTGAGCCCATATTATGTCAATTAGCCCAATGAATTTTTCTATATTCCTCACATCCCCCATAAAAAACATTAAAGAGAGATTTGATAGAAGAAATAATATTTATTGGAGTCTTGAAGAAGGAAAGAAAATGAACTGATAAAGAAGACGTGACAAATTTAAGCAAAACCAAGCGATCATCCATATATAAGTTTCTACTTTTCCATCCAGACAACCTTTTCCTAATACATTCTTCAATCAGATGCCAAAAATAGTCTACGAGGATTTCCCTAGGAGGCAAAGATACACAAAAGGTGTTGGACCAAGTTTATAATTTACCAACCAAAATTCTGAGACATTGATTTCCACCAACATACTTTTATAAAAATTCACTTTTAATCCAGAAATAAGCCCAAATAGAATTAGAATGTCCTTCAAAGTTTGAACATTTCCCAATTTTTCTCACACACTAATAATGTATCATCCATAAATTAGAGGTGAGAGTTATGTAAATTCAAATTTGACCCTATCTAATAACCAGAACAAACATCAACACTGATGACTGCATTCATCATAACATTTAAGCCTTCTGTTTTTAAGAAGAATAAATAATGAGATAATGGATCCCCTTAACTATGACCCCTCTAAAACGAAACTCGTCAATTAGCTTTCCATTAACAAAAACAAATGCCATTGTGGAACTAACACATTATGAAACTCAACCTCGTTGCTTAGAGGGAAACTTCATCTTAGACATCACCGCATCTAAGTACTTTCACTCTATAGAGTCATAAGCCTTTTTAAGAATGAGTTAATAAAAATAAGCTTCTTTTTTACTTTATAACATCATTCACAACATCATTGACAATCAGAACCCCATCTAAAATTTGACGCCCCTTCACTAAAAAAAGACATTGACTTCGTTATAACACTATTAATAATTGATCTCAACCTATTAGCCAAAACTTTAGCAAGAACCTTAAACATACAACATGTAACACCTTGTTTCTAGTATTTTAATTTTAATCGAACTTATTATTGTTTTTATGAATTATTTGTCAGCTCGTGTATTTTATTAGGATTAATTTAGGTGTGTAAAAATTATTAGAATTTAATTAGAATTTTAGTTAATTTAATTAATTAATATAAATAGAAAATAAAGAATTTAGAGAGTTGGGGTTAAAATGAGAATAATGAGAAAATAATAGAGAGAGGTAAATAAATTGGGGCCAAGATGAAATAATTAAAAGATTAATATTAGTTAATATTAATAAAGGGAGAGTGAAGCTATTTTTATCAATATGTACAAATTGGAAATTAGGAGAAATGTCTTTTGTGAGATAAAGAAAAAAGTAAGGGTTTGTGAGGGAGAGGAAGTCATAACTAGAGCTT